TAAAACATTTAATTCACAATAATAAAAGAAAAATTACTAAATTTTTTTTATTATACTACTTTTTAAATTAAGTATTTATTATTTTTAAGCCCAATTTTTTTTAGAATTTAGGAAGAATAATTTTATGTTTCAATATTTAAAATTTAACACGAAAATTAGAAATTTAAACTTTAAAGTTTTAGAATTTAACATTTAGTTTTAAAATTTTAGAGTTTTAGATTTTAAAATTTTAGAGTTCAATAATAAGAATTTAAATGTTGAAGTTTTTAAAATTAATGAATTAGAGTTTTAGGGTTTAAATTCGGATTAGGATTTAATATTTAATATTTTTTTATCAATTTAAAACTAGAATATTTTTAGGTGACATTTTAATTTGCCTCTCTTTTTTTTAGTTTTTTTTTTAATTTTATTTTCTTTAATTTTCTCAAAAATATTTATTTTTACGTTCCTTTTTAGTTATATATATATTTATTAGTAATTTACATGCTTCAATACATTACAATTCATAATTAAAGCACACATTTCATATTATATTCTTATGCTACTTTATTAGTTGTGTTATATTGGTGGATATTGTGTTCAATTTTTGATAGAGTATTTTTTGTTTCCTCTTAGAATAATATTTTATTCATTATTGGTGTCATATCTAATATTCTATATTTATTTTTCTATGTTTTTAATTATTTTCAATAAATTTTAAATTAGTTTCAATTTAGAGATACACTTCTTATTATTTAATATTTTGGTAGTAATATTCTAATTTAATATTTTAGTTCAAAAAAATTTGAAATTATTTACAAAACTTAACTTTTACACAAAAAAACTATTTTTGCTTTGGGATTTGAAAATCTTCGGCAAAACTTCTTCTTAAGCCCCCAAGCTTATCCAAAAATAGCATATAAGCTTCTAATCTAAAAATAAAGCAGATAAACCCTCCAACTCCATTAACAATACAAATGAACCCCTCCCACAAACGAGCCAAACAGTATTTCATGTTTAATATCACCTTAAAAGGATGGACACCCATGAAGTAAAAGGGTTTATTTGCATCATTGGTAGAGATCGAGGGCTTATTTGCTTCATTTTTAGTTTAGGGCCTTAAATACTATTTTGGGGTAAGTTTGGGGTTTAAGTAGGATTTTTGCTAAAATCTCTTATAAGTGTGTGTTTGGTTTGAAGGAAGAGAAATGATGTATTTGTCAACCAATTAGATAGCAATATTTGAAAATGTTCTAATTTGATTAGTTATAAAACCCGTTCCTTTTACCAATGATCTACATAACTTAGTGGTAATTTCTTTTTAGTGGAAGTAAGAGTTTCGGAATTCAAATAATATGGCATGTAAAAAGATGAGAGAAGGGTTTTCTCCATTCTACAGAAAGAGAGTTGCCTAAAAAAAAAAAGAATCTCATTTGTTCTTTTTCATCTGTTTCCTTCAAACCAAATATACTATTTAAAGGTGGCAATTTCTCTTTCGTCTCATGGAGACTCCATTTAATGTACCCTTAACAATACAATAATTTTTTTATAAATTATTTTAAATCAGGTTCAACCAACATTTTAATAAATTTTAATATATTTTCTTAATTTATCATTCACTTTAATGATAAAACCCAATATTCATTATGCAATTCATGTCTACTTTAACTACTCAACACATTTGCCATTTAATATTATAAAGAATGCTATTACTTCTTTTATTGATTGATCAAGAGTTAACACTAATGTCCTTTTTGGTTTAAGGGAGAGGAAAGGAAGAAAAACTTCTCTATTTGGATAATAAAAAATTGGAGGGGAAATGAGGGGAAGTGATGGGTTTTTCCTTCCTTCTTTTTTATTATTATTATTATTATTATTATTTATTTGCCTTTTAGTCTAACCAAACAAGCAGAGGGGACTTTGTTTCCCTTAAACCAAACAAGAGATAAATGCATAGATGATTCTCTTATGTCAAAATTCATTAGATTGCTTTGTTTTCATTCATTATTTGGAAAATTTAGTAACAAAAAGAAAATGAAAAGTTTTATAAGAATTCTTATTTTAAGATTCTAAGTGACTTTCTCTTATTATTTATAAAATTATTAAATTTTAGTTATTTTTTCTCATTTAGTTTGATTTATCTAATAGGTAATTTGGTGTTGACTCAATGCACTCCAAGAGGGGGGGTGAATTGGAGTTGGAGAATTTTCACTTCTTTGCAACCACCAAACAAAAATTAAAGAGAGAGTAGAGAAGAAGAGCTTGCACAATGATTTTATAGAGATTCAGTCCAACCACTTGGAGTCTAGTCCTCTACCTTGGCTTCACTCACCAAGGATTTCCTCCACACTCTCCACTAACAAAAACAATGGTGGCTTGAAAGAGCCACTCAATCCTTTACAAGAAGAAGGGTGTTTCTCTCAAATCTCCCCCTTTTACACTTAAACCCCAAAGATCCTCTCTACAGATCACTCTTGAAGGAATCAACACACCCCCAAGATCACTCACTAGTAGCACAAGAATAGGATTACAAACAAAAATCTCTCAAAGATCAAAATCTCTAGTTAAAGCACAAGTTGGTGGGTAAAGATATTCAATATAATGTTCTCCAAACTTCTTCAGATCTGTTACCAACCATATTTATAACCCCTTGCTCGAAAATAGTCGTTACTAGCCGTTGGGGGTTATTAAATGCTCTGCAGGATGCAAAAGTCGAGTTGCAGGATTGTCAGGAGAGTCGACTTAACATTCTAGAGTTGGCTCTGAAGAGCCGGCTTACACTTCCAGAGCTGGCTATCGGGTTTGCAGACCATTCTTTTTTTCTCGAGAGCTGGCTGCAAAACTTTGAGCCGGCTTTGCAACTCCGACCGTTGTGCATTAAATGCACCCTCACAGCAGGCTATAAAGTTGGAGCTGACTTTGCGTCTTTTCTCCGCACGCGCCAAGCAACGGTCTTCAAATTTTTGCATGTAGAGCCTGCTGCAGCTTCTAGAGCCTGCTACAACTTCTAGAGCTGGCTTTCTGCACTTCCATTTCACCAGAGCCTGCTGCAGCTTTTAAGAGCCGGCTCTCTGCACATTTTGAATCCTTTTGGTCTATTTTTAGTGCAATCCAAGTTTACTTGTAATCTTTTAGCAACTTAACCGCACACTTAAATAAACCAATTAGTCACTCAAATGTGTTTGTAATCATCAAAATCATAGGTACAACATTTGGTATATTTTATTAGTATAAACCTCCTCTATATTTAATTGAACAGTAATATTAAGCAGCTTATCTTTCTCAAATTTATTGGCAAAAAAGGGATCTTCAAAGATCATTATAACAATTAGATTATGAGATTTGTTAAGAATATAGGCATTACTAATAGAATAAGTGTTGAATTTTAAAATATAGAGGATAACCTCCAACTTTAATATTATCAAGGGATTTTCTAAAATTAACATTGGGTCTAGCTTTTTTTATACTATTTAATTATTGTTTGCCAATATCTCTAATATTTTGAATTGTAGAGAACTCATGACGAATTTTGTTCTAACTCATCATTGTAACCTGTTAATAGTGATAGTCATATGTGTACTAACCAACTTCTTAAGATGGGAATATCACCTTTTTTAACTTTTTTTTTTTAATTTTTAATAAATGTTCATTTCTTGCGATTATATTTTATCTTACTTATGTACTAGAAATTCACTTTCTAAAACAACCTTAATGAACTGTCTTTTTTTGTGTTAATATAATTTTATCATTCTTTCTCAAAAAGAAGAAGAAAAAAAATAAGTAATAACTTTTTCTTTTTTAAGATATTAATATTTCTCATTTTCATTTCAAATGTTTAATTAATAATATGTTTGGGTTGAGGGGAAAAGAAAAATTTTTGACCAATCAAATAGCAATATTTAAAAAAGATTACAATTTGATTGATAAAAAAAATCTTCCCTCCCCTCTTAAAACAATTTGGGTCGAAATCTATTATTGGCCTAACAACTTTTTAAGGCAAAGTTTATAGGTTCTTAAAAATTCAAACTTAACTTATTAATGGTAGTTGGTTTTCATAATTACATACCAAATATACTCATAAGTCCTCATTAATGTCGAATTCGGGTTGTTACATATACATTTCCCTCAACTCAAACATATTATAAATTTTTTCTTTATTTTTGATATTATAGAAATCCTTTTATTTATATAAAAAGGAAAGTATTCTAAATTAATGCGTTAAAATAAGCATAAATATAAATGAAAATTTTTTACAATTTTTTATTAAAAAAATTTATATATATTAAAAAATTATTCAAATATATTTTATG